GAAGATCACAGACTGACAAAAGTGTTGCGCAAGAACAGAAAGAGTGGGAAAATACTTTGCGGAAGGAAACGAAAAGGAAAGAATGAAACAAGAGTTGCGCAATAACAGAATTGCGCAAGAAAGATACCAAGAGCAGAATGGAGAGAGAATGAACCTTATGAGCTGCCGGGGAAGGCAGATCATAACACTCTGCTAAAAATGAATGCCTCCTATCAAAGTATAACATTACTTTTCCTTCTTTCTTCCTCCAAAAGCATTCCCTTTGAACGCACAGCAGATAAAAGAGTAGAAAAGATGAATAATACAAGTATCATGAGAATTGAGAAGAAATAAGAGCAAATGTTACGGCCTTCATATTCAACCGCTGTTGTGAAGACCTTCAAAAAAATGTCTGCATGGGTAATTTCACAGCAGCAGAATATTTTCAGCTGCATTTTGTTGTCAAAAGGATCTTCTTAGATCGAAGTAATTGCATTACTACTGAATAAGTTTTTTATGGGTAATTTATGACCCTGATTTTGAATCTGGTATCTGTTTCGACAGTTGGGCCTTTTGTGAGCGTCGTTTGTAGAATTCTGTTCTCTCGGATGTTCGTACGGAAGTTTAATTTTAATTCAGTTTCATCATGAAACTTATTTCTTAGCGCTCATCTACCATTCCACATGACGAAGCCAATTTAACTGTCTTTTTCAAAAGAACTTTGTGAGTTATCTGTAGCGTATTCCGAAACCTCTAATAGACTATCAATTACCACTGTTTTTGCTCAAATATACTGTGTTTTCAATTCTATAGAAAACTCATTCCAGTCAGCTAGCAGTTTGCACAGTACACTTTGTTGCATTTATCTTGTAATTTTTTCGGTTGTCTGACGAAACCTCCTGCAATTAAGAATGAATTGGTTTCGGATTTTAATCAGTTTGTTACCGCAAGCGTTTTCATTTAAAAAAATCCGATCCGCTTGTATTTTATTCTAAAAATCTCGTTCTTACGCAAAAAGATGTAGAATTCTTTTAGAGAATTTAATCCACTAACTCGAATCTAAACTAGACTTGGTTATTGAGCGTTTTAATGAGAAATAATTGCCAATGAACGCTTGCTGTCAGTCTCAATTACTAATTCACTAGGCAATGAGGAAAACTAATGGGTATTCTGTTCGGTATAGCTTTTCAAGGACTACAAAACGCTGTATTAGAATATTTTTATAAATTACACGAACGAGACTTGCCAGAACTTTGTTACAAATGTCCATTGTTTTTTCAACTAAAATACTGCCTTGCCACGGATTCCGATCACAGATCATTTTTCGGTGCAGAAGTTTCGTAGTGAAAGTTGTTCAGAATGTAGTCCTTCAGCAGGCTACACATCAAGTTTTCGAAATTTGACTTTGAGGATTTCTAATCCTAAGTTTAGCGGAATTTGAACTTATAAAATTTGTATTTTTACATTTAAAAAGTAATAAAGGCAAATTTCAGAGCTAGTAGGTATGGGTATGTATGGATATATATGGATAGGTACCGGCAGCTAGGATGTAAACAAAAATTAAGTATAAATATGATGATTTCCATTAGGCTATTATGAATAACTGAACTTTTTGTGAATACTATCTTGCACTTAATATAATTATAACACTTTACTCTGATGTGTAATGATCGCACATGCTCTCTGTTTACTTGACCAAGTGTGTCCTATATCTTACTGTTCTATTATTCACAATAAATTGACTTGATAAAGTGGCCTGAGAGAAATCGAATGTGTGTGACCTCGTGTTAAAGAATTTCAAGCAATTTCGATGCATAATAACTTAAAACAGGACTGAACATCATGTCATACGGCAGATCATTGAGTGAGAAGAGAAAAACAATCTGATTACTTCTTCGCTTAGCACAAATATAATGTGCGTCATTTATAAAATTCGGTTTTCCACATTATTTTCCGTTTACAAAACTGTGCATGAAGCTACAAGCCTGTCGAGTAGTAGCACGAGCACAGGTAACACATACGAGTGAGTTTTCCTCTCCTCAATGCACCTGGTCTGCATTTCGCCGTTCTTCAGCATCTGCAACAATATCCTTTCACAATTACTTCGACACGTACGTGTTATTGACACAAGTACTCAGATGGATTTCTTTCTTCTGTACACATCTTCTGTATACATTTTCTTTCCTTCTGTACACTTATTAGAATGACTCAATCTATCAAAAGTTTTTTTCTATATAATAATGCCCGATTTAGCACAGAAACATTATTCTTCAACAAGCAATACTCATCATCATCATCACTCGGCTGCTCTGGAGCAGGCGACCACAAGCAATACTCTAATGAGTAAAATGACTAAACCCATTATAGCACTCGACTGCGACGGTGTTCTACTCAATTATAACAAAACATATGGTCTGATCTATAGTCAAACATTCGGTCAAGAATTAATTGTCGTCAATCCTCGATCTTATCATGCCAAAAACATGTACAACATCACCATGACTGATGAAGAAAAAATAGAATTTAACAGAGTATTCGATGGTTGGAGAAACATGCCCATGTTTGATGGAGCTTTAGAAGCATGTAATCTACTGCGCGCAGCTGGTTACGAGTTGTTCTGTGTAACAGCCATACCGGAAAAATTTGTCCAAGCTCGACTAGAAAATTTGCAGAAACATGGCTTTTCAATTGATCGTGTTATTGGAAACCCCACATTTGACATGCGAAACACTGCCGACAAATTACGGGGCGGTTGAAGATTTTGTCAATCCGAAGAAAGAGATCATTGAACGACTGATACCAGTAGCATTCGTTGATGATCAGAGAAGAAATTTTAAGGATATTGAATGTGATGATACCATGTTTGTGTATATTGATGGCGAACATACCGATGATCATCCAAATTTCGATGATGATACGCCTTATCATGTCAAATATGGCAGTTTAATGGAATTTGTCAAAAACGTTTTGCGACATGACAATAAAATGTTGAGTTAAATAAATTTTTAAAATCGTTTTCTTGATACAAAATCTAACATTTCTAGAGCTAATGTTATATTGATCTATATAGTTACACACTTTTAACATCAGCGGTAATCAAACTGTTGGAACTCTTTCTCTCATGATCTCAACTGGAAATCACATATTCAGCGCACAATAAGTTATTGTCACAGTGTGTTAGAAATGCTATTAATCGAACATTCAGCGCGCATCCTACTTGTCTCAATCTTCGACTCTATGAAGCATACGCTGTTGTCAAACTTCAACGATGCTGTTGTGTAAAGATAAATTACAGAATACTGTCTCGATTGAACAGCTTGTTGATTTGAAACCAGGTTGCCCTTTAGAATTAAATGTTGAACAAAATGTCATTCAATAAGAGGAGCTTGCAAGAATATAG